TAATGTTTAATCATTATATATGTACATTTATGTTTGTCTTTTAGAGAGGAGGAGGTGTCACTGTCTATCCACCTGATGACATGTTAGTTGATAGTTACATGTACTTTTGTCTTACTCTTTTTTTTAATGTGATTATTTTAAATATCCTTTTTTATATTTTATAGTTCTGCCATTCCTCCTCCTCCTTCCTATGCTGCTACCATTGAACAAGAAAGTGCTACTGTGAGCAGTTCTCAGTTTAAAGTACCAGAACAAGTTACTGATGATGCTGCAGTGGTTCATGGAAAATATGGTAATGAATGTATATGTAGGAATCTATGAAATTTTGTTTTATTATAATTTTTAACAGGAAAATATCCACAAACAAATATTGAAGATGATTATGATATTAACACTCCTGTACAAGTTGAAACACGCACTAGTGATGGTAATTATTGATGTTTAAGTGTAATAATAATAATATTATTATTATTATTATCTTTTTGTAGCTCAAATTGTAGTACAGCCAAGGGCACCATTAGCCACTTTGGACTCAAATTTTGCAAATGATCGTAAAGGAGGACCTATTATTGTTGAGTCTCCAATGAAAGAATTTGCACCAATTCAGTTTCGAGAAACTGAAAAAAATGTGTTTTTTGAAAAGTCTCTTCTAGTTGATAGCTTATTTGAAGAGGATGAAATAGTTCGTGATCATATTTTTGATCATATCAGTGATGAGATGGTTGGAGTTAAGCCACGTCCAGTGGTATTGAATAGTAGGAAGAAGACAGGAACACTTGTAACAGGACTTGCTTCAAAGGTTGAATTGGTATGACATTTAATAATAATAATATCCATTACCAGCTGCATTATTTATCACTAACAGGCTATATATACTGCATGTCATGAAGTTCAAACAAGTAAAAATGAGTACCAGACACAAAAGGTTTTTGAATCACATGGTGAATATGATTATAATACTTTATTTTAGGTACCAAAAGTTATTACCCAGCACCCGTATTAAAGTGAACTTCTTGACATACATATTTGGATTTTGGACACTTTTTCACACTGCTTTGGACATTTAATGCTTGATTTTGTATTTACCTTTTTGTAATATTAGTATGTCTATAATCAAGGATATCACTCTTGATATTATGTACTCTTGCTATAATTATTATGCAAAGAGCCAAAGACAATTTGATTTAATCTACATGCATTGCTATCTATGCAGTGCAGATACTATAGTGTAATTATAATCTTCAATTAATGACCAGGGAGGGATGGATTGGGATTTCCCAGGGAAATTCCCCTATACACGCCCTTTATATTAAGAAAGAAACGGAAACTACAGCTAGATACTAGACATGGCCTCCTTCGGTTGCTGCTTAAGCTTCATCATTACTTTTACACTTCTCTCACTGCCACAAATCTTTTGTAGCTGTCCAGAGAGCATCTCCCATTTTAACAAGACTATAATAGACAATGGTAAGAGAACTAAACGCTGTGTTAGTCTCGCTGGCCAGACCATTCCCCAGCCTACAGTCATTGGGGTGGACGCCAATGATTGTAGGCTGGGGAATGGTCTGGCCAGCGAGACTAACGCTGTGTTTAGTCTACAATTATTGTCTATGTTTACAGGTCTTGGACCTTTAAACGCTACGGAATATGTTGGCGGGACGACAACCTTTACTGGAACTGTTCCTGCTACATGTAGTCTGTTAAGACTCTACATTGATGGATGTTATTCATCAAAAATTAACGTTAATATTACTAATATTGGTAATAATATGAAAAGACTTTCATATGTGACCCCAGTTCTGAATATGTCTCATGATGGGACAGCATACGATATATGCACTCATTGCGGTGGTGACCGTTATGAGTGCTTTCCGACTGCTACACTTAAAGTGAAAGGTGAGACTGAAACTTATTATTATTATTATTATTATTATTGTGCTTTTGCTAAAATAAATCAATAAATAAATTCATTTGAATCTGCTGAAATGCATAGCATAATAATTATGTATCAAAAAATGTAATAAAAATTGCGGAGCTATTTTTTGGAAAATTGGCTTGTTTTTTAAATGGCCATAACTCAAAAATTTGAGCTCAGAATCAGCTCAAACTTTCTACACAGCATAAGTACATCAATATGTATCAGAAAATGTAATAAAAATTTGGGGTGATTTCGGAGCCATTTTTTGGAAAAAACCATGGGCTATAGTACAGGGAAATTTTCAGAAATTGGCTCATTTTAAAATGGCCGTAACTTGATAATTTGAGCTCAGAATTGACTCAAACTTTCTACACAGCATAAGGACATCAATATGTATCAGAAAATGTAATAAAAATGTGGGATGATTTCGGAGCCATTTTTTCAAAAAAAACCATGGGCTATATAGCCTTGGGTGTTTTCCAGAATTTTGGCATTTTCTTAAAATGGCCGTAACTTGAAAATTTGAAGTCAGAATCAGCTCAAACTTTCTACACAGCATAAGTACATCAATATGTATCAGAAAATGTAATAAAAATTGGGGGTGATTTCGGAGCCATTTTTTTGAAAAAACCATGTAAATTTCCGAAATCGGCATATTTTAATGTTATAACAAAATTGCTATTGCACATTATTTCATTTTTATTTATTTTTATATAGACAAACCAGTGTTAAATGTAAATGCCATTGCTACTTGTAATGGTATACAAGTGGAAGGACAGAAAGATAATGACACAGTCATTATGGCCACAGTGAAGGACTCTCTTAATCACACTGTGCTTCATTGCAACATTTCATCTTTGCCAAATTCGATTAATTATACTGTACTCCCTCCTGATATTGACTTTAATATTGAATTTGCTGGTGTTAATCCAGCTGGAGTGGGAGAACCGTTGGAACAAGCAGTTTCATTTGAGAATTGTAAAGTTACTATTAAAAGTGGTACAATTTTATTCCCTTTATTTAGTGATATATTTTAAGATAAAGTTAGTTAAAGTTTTATATGAAGATAATAAAGTGAAAGCCATTATTAGATTTGCTGTAAGTCGTTGATTATTATTACTATTATTATTATTATTATTATTATTATTATTATTATTATTGTTATTATTATTTCTATTTTTTTATAGTTCGATAATACTTGTATAATGTCAAGAGCACATGCTATGCATGTGAAATCCACCTGTGCTGTTGGAGGGAGTAGATCATTCAGTATCAGTAATAGCAATACCATTACTGTTGATATGTTACAAAGTCGGCGTAAGTGTACGTTTACTTTGTCATCAGGAAAAACCAGTCATACCACTGCCTTTTATGGTAAGTATAGTACTCACTAATTGATCATGTGATATACTTGGAATGTGGAGAGTTCAGGTCACATGATGTTTACAGTTGGAGAGATTAACCACAATAGGGACAAAAATAACAAATTTCTCTCTCTCCCCCCCTTACTCACACACACACACACACACTCTCTCTCCCTCTCCCTCCTCTCCCTCACCCCCTATTAATTAGACACAAGACCTGTTACAGCTACTATACGCCCTCACAACACTACTGATGGGTATTTCAACTTTACTGGACGACTATTGCAAGGTGTACTTGGAATCGTCATTCAAATCGTGAGGTCTAATAATACCATCCATTCAACGCAATATGTACCAAGAGACTCTCCACATAATAATCAAATTAAAGGATCAAACACAAAGCAACTTGAAGATGGCAACTATCGTGTTAATATCTATCTCATGAAAGCTAATAAAACTTTTGATCCTTCATCCCTCATCAAAACAATACAAATGTATTGTATTATTTCTACAGCTACAAATACTATGTCAATTACTACACCTGAGACTAGAATCCACACAAGAAAAGGCTAGACAAACATGCATTAATATCATTATTAGTATAATTCCTTAATAGAATTGGCTATTGGTCTCATAATATTTGCTGTTTTAGTAGTAGCTTCATTCTTTGTTATCCTACTATTTTGTTTTTCGCCAAAGTTACAAGGAATATTTAAAGGTAAGATCACACAATTCTTGTTTATTATAATTATTGTGACATTTCTTTTTTATACTTTAGATTTTGATGTAAAAAAACTTTGGTAAGAATTTAAAGGCCTTTTCACACTGGCACAAGTAATGCGCATTAATTGTGTTCACACTAGAGTGGTTTTGAATTAATGTGCATCAGTCTCACTTCACCCCCAGAGGTGGATTGATGTGAAGTGATACGCTTTGATCAATGTAAACCAATGGCAACAAGAACACAAAATGATACACAATTCAGCTGCTAGTGTGAACACGATCAGTGCACATTATTTCAGCTGTATCAACAAAGCGCATCAAAGCGCTTTGAAAACTGTGCCAGTGTGAAAAGGCCTTAATTTTGTTGCTACAAAACAACTTTTAATTTTTATCAAGCAATAGCTTGTAAGTTATACCTATCTATCTTCACTATAGTCAATCTAGCTATGTATTTGACTCTCAATGGCTGATGGGAGTAATACAATTACCACCTTTTCTTTCTTTTAATGATGAAGGAAGCTGTCAATCTTCAAAGGAAGATTGCCGGTATTATAATAATTTATGGTCAGTATATTTCACATGTACATATTTTGTCTTGTGTGTGTTTATGTGTTTAGTGAAAGTAAAAATACTGTTGGAGCAGTAACAGGAAATGAAAGTCCAGCTGTTGCATATTCGAAACCTGAGACTGATAAAAAAGCACCAGAGACTGAGTAAGAAATACAGTGATAGCAATAATGATAATAATGATTATGATGATGATGTTACTATCATTTATAGTGGCAATCAGTCAACAATGAATAGCACACCCTATGTCAGTTTTCAATCAGAAAGTGATCTTTTGCCATCACCAGATAAAAATGAGCAGTTTTTAAATCAGGATTTTAACTCTGGTCCTTCTGGCTTTGTCGGTAATCCTCTAAATGCTCCTCCTCACATCGTAGTTAACACATTGGACCAGAAACCAACATTCCCTGTTCCGGTAGCTAATTTCGCTGACAACCTTGTTGTACTTGAATCTGAAGTTCGAAAAAGGAAATTGTCTCGCGCTTTTTCACAAGAGGGTGAAACAAAACAGGAAGTAAGTGGTGATTGTATGTTGCTTTTATTAATACCGGTATTGTTTTGTTCACAAGGATAATAATGCTACTGCTGCTTTTGTATTTCCTCATGAAGTATTTGACACAGCTGGTGACAAGAAGACTCAACCTCATTAGGAGGAACACTTTTGCTGCCTCATTAGGAGGGAAATCTTGCTATTGTTTGTATTATTGCTGCTGTCTTTAACGCTGCTTATGCTAAATTATTTGTATAGATTTGTTTCTTTATGTCATTATTACTGCTGACATTTAACAAAATACTTTGTATCCTATAGCTCATAATCTTGAGCCAAATTTTGGAGCAATAAACTTTAAAAGTTCAGAAGGAAATCCAATTTTGGTTGCATGGAATCAGTTCAAACTACATAAGAATATGTATAATATCAGTATCAGGAAATAGTATAAAATTGGAAAATTCTCTCCTTGTCAATTCGGTAAAACATCATGTACTATCCTTGCCTGATTTTGGAGCAGCTTTAAAAATTTGTAAAAAAAATTAAGTTTCATTGGAATCAGTT